GGGTGCAAATGAGAGCCCTTAAGACTTAAGACACATTGGCAAAGCGGGAAGTTGAGGAGGGGGGGTTTAGGACTGAGCTCAGGGGGCCCTGCTACAAGGCCTCTCGCTCCAGAGTGCCCTCGCCACAACGGCAGCCGGTCTGCCACTCCAGGTGAGCTGTGGGCTTATGTGGGCATATGTGGGCCCTGTGGCTTCGACGTTTTCAGCATTGTGCAAGTTAGAGGTTTTGGTTTAAAGGCAGCTGAAAGAGAGGGGAAAAGAGTTGCCCCAAGGCCCCATTGCAAGGCATAGGGCTCCTCGGAGTTGAGGAGCTTGGTTGGCGGCATGGTTCTTTCTTTGGTGCTGTTTCTGTTCTGCAACATCAACACCCACGCAAGACACTTCCTCGCAGAGACTTGCAAGCCTCCCAAAACCTGGTTAGAAAAAAACAAACTCTTCAGACTGACCTGGACCTCCTCAAAGTCCGAGCCTCAAGCTACGAAGAAGCTTCCAAACTTCTCCAGAGCACCTTGGACCTGGTCGACAACCTTTGCGGCTTGTGGTCCTTCTCCGAGCTGCTTGCAGAAGGCAGCTGTGGCTTGAAGGTTCAGATCAAGGGATGAAGGTAAGGGATGAAGGTAAGGTCGGGGGTCTCAAGGTTTCAACAGTCTGTGATCTGGTCAAATTACACCACCGAAGACCCCAAACAGTCAAAGGCACGTCAAAGAAACAGTGGAGACAACGGGAGACAAGGGGAGACGAAGGGAGACAAAGGGAGACGAGGAGCACAGCAACCCGGCAAAGCCACCCAAAGGGAGACAAGGAGCCCAGGAACCCGGCAACAATCCTCAGAATGTCGGCAATCCTTACATGAATTTAGAACCCCAACAGTAGACTGTTTGGGGAGAAATGGTTTACCTCTTGTCGCAGTCCAACGCTCGCCGGGGAGGGGGGGGGTGGGGTGGGGGTGGGGTGGGGTGGGGACGGTTGGGCCCAGATGCCCCCTGATGCACCGTCCGCTCCGGGCACCTGTCGCCATCGGATCGGGGTGAATCTCGCAGGTTGGGCACGAACAGGCAAGAGGTCAAAAGGAATCGGGTG